AATCCTAAAATCCTATCTGTAAAAACATTTATTTATCATATCCACGACACAACCTTTTTAAATAAGACAAGTCTTACAAACTCAAATCCAATGGCCGAAATCACAGCACGCAAGCGCAAAGGTATGTATTGTTCTATAATGCTTCAATCGATTATTCTAATTTTCAATTACAGCTTCTACTGCTCCTGCAGTCCCGCGGACGAGGTTGCAAAATTAAAGAAGGCGAAGAAGTCACCAAAATCTACTGAAGCCGTCAAGCCCAAAGAAGCTGCCAAACCCAAGGAAGCCGCCAAGCCTAAGAAGGCCGCAAAGATTGTTGAGAAGGTTGTAGAGAAAGAGGTTGTTGAGGAACCAGTCGAGGAATCCGAAGAAGAGGAAGAAGAGGATGACCAAACTGAAGCTCTCTTGAAGGGTTTCGAATCCGACAATGATGAGGAGGAGAACGCCAAAGAAGGTGGGCTCGAACCCGGTCAGGAAGTTCCAAACGCTCTCGAAAAACTTAGCAAGAAGCAAAAGAAGGCTATCAAGAAGGCTGCCGAAGAAGCTGCCAATGATCTTCCTGGTGTTGTCTATATTGGTCGCATTCCTCACGGTTTCTACGAGGCAGAAATGAGAGCTTACTTTTCTCAATTCGGAGATATTCTCAAGATCCGCCTGTCAAGAAATAGAAGAACCGGTGCAAGCAAGCATTATGCATGGATTCAATTCGCCAGTAGGGGTGTCGCAGAAATTGTAGCCAAGACTATGGATAACTATCTGTTATTCAACCACATCTTGAAGGTTAAATTGGTACCTGATGAGCAACTTCCTGAAGATTTGTTCAAGGGTGCCAACCGTCGCTTCAAAAAGGTTCCTTGGAACAAGATTGAGGGTCGCCGATTAGAGCAAGGTGCTGGAGAAGAGCAATGGGAGAAGAGAATAGAAAAGGCTGAGAAGAAGCGCGAGATCGCCGCAGAGAAATTGAAGCAAATCGGTTACGAATTCGAGGCACCAAAGATAAAATCCGCAAAGGGTGTTTCCAAGAAGCCAGTCAAGGAAATTGAGAATGGTGAAGATGAAGTTGCCGGAAATGAAGATGTTGTCATGGCCATTGAAGCTACCCCTGCAGTTGAGGAGCCAGTCAAGGCTAAGAAGGTCAAGAAGACTAAGGTCGTTGAGGAAACTCCTACTGCCACAATCACCACAGAGGAAACCATCATCACAACCGAAGCTGCTCCAGTCGAGAAGCCAAAGAAGGGAAAGAAGGTCGCAAAGGCAAAGGCTGTCGAAGCTCCCGTTGAGCCTGTAGCCGAAGTCGAAGCCGAAGCACCAGTTGGAAGAAAGACAAGATCTAAGAAGGCAGCAGTCAAGATCGTCGAAACCCCAGCTGAAGTCGAGGTTGAAGCCGAGATTGAAGTCCCAGCAAAGAAGGTCACCAAGGCTAAGAAAGCCAAGAAGTCCAAGGCTTAAGCTTAAGCTTTTTGATTTCTGTGTTTCTCTCTTTTCTTGTAAATTCCTGCTTTGATGATATTCCCCGGCGTTATGGTCACATAAAAGAATCGTCGTTCATATGTTTCAGAGGGAATGCTTTTAGACATGTCGCTTACTTGCTTGCTGTATTACTTCCATCTGGCTTGCGTGTATTGAGAAGAATATGGCTCGGATGATCTGATACTTAGTAGGCCAGGCTTAATATAAATGAATGTCATATGGAATATATGATTTATGCGATGCACTTTTTGTGATTGATCGTAGGTAGGCCTTGAGCATAATGGTGTTGTCAAATTAACCGGACATTGAGGAGTGGCATGAAGTCTAGTGATGAATTTTTTATGCCAGACATCTGAATCCTTGACAATGGAACCACGATGAGAGAGATGACCAGATAACCAGAATCCAACGTAGAAGCCAGAGAATAATTTAGCAAAGCTTATCGGCATCTTATTATACATGTTATACACTATATTCTATCTACCATTTAAACCCCCATCCCATCTATCTCACCAATCACATTTTGTCACCCCCCCTTCATTCATAATCATCTTTTTCGACGCCTGAAAAAGACTAATAAGCATGACCGTACCCCCAAACGCTACACACGCGCCCGCCATCCACGTTCTCCACGTTCTTCTCGTTAATTTTATATAACATAACGGTGGTAATATATATGCCAACGCACACGCACTAGTCGCGCCGATTAATTCGAACACTGCGCCGAGATCACAGGTTACTAGACTTAGGATCATAGCGCTGACGACGAGGGAGGAGGTGAAAATGAGATGTAGATGCATGTTGAATGGTTCGCCGGGGAACCAGTAGTTAAACATTACTTCGCGACAGACGAATGCTTCGAGGGGGAGGGTGGTAAGCATGTTGAGACCGAAGCAGAGACGGGCGAGGTTGACGAGGGGGTTTGTGGCGGGGAAGTTGTTGAGGACGTTGCCGAGGGTTTTGGAGCCGAAGGTTAGGAAGCCCGAGAGGGCCATTAGGATACAGGCGACCATGGAGATGGAGGTGCTGTAGTGGGTTACGGTGGAGAATCGGTCGATGGTGGGGGTTTGGAGGGAGCCGTAGATTAGGAGGGAATTGTGGTGGCAGACAAAGGCTGGAGAGTGTTAGTTGAGTTTTATTGGATTGGAGAAAGGTGGAATAAGGGGGTGGAAGCTAACCGAAGGATATTACGCCAATGGCTTGGAAGATGCCATCGTTTATTGTGAGGAGGGGCGTGGTGAATTCCCCTCTGTCTTCTTGGGGTACCATAAATCCTTGTGTTACAACTGTGAACAGAATGACCATCATACTGATCAATGCCAAAGTGCTCGCTTTCGCCAACTGTCGCGAATTAGCATGGCTTCTCGATATGGCTAGGAATATATACCTTAGCAATATCCCGATATAAACTCAAAGGATAACTTATTCCCATCACAAAAACTACAATAACAGCCCTCCTGTTCGCCAGTAGTCCCAGCACTGGCACATCTCTTAATCCCGGGAAAACCGCAGTCAAAACATGCGGTATCGAATCCCCCACAATGATACAAAAAGCTATCATACCCCCAAACGCAAAAGCCCATTGCGCAACACTGATAGCAATCAATCCCGTTCTCCCAAAACAAAACTCCACTGTCCCTTGGAAACTATCTCGTCCACTCAATTTCGAATTAATAACAATCAGTCTAATAGTCCAGTCCACCGTAATCGTAAGCGCAATCAAAAGAATAACTCCAGCCAAGAGTCCAGCTTGACGAAATGCGTAAGGTTGTCCGATGATACCGGCTCCGATAATACTATTCGCCATGTTCATGAATGCATTCCGCAGATTCGACTTGGGACGAGATCGCTCGCGTTCAGCCCATGTATGTACATCTTCGTCGTCATCCCAAGGACTAGAAGCAACAGTTACGGAGGGTGCTTCGATGCCCGTTAGGAGGGGTGTAAAAGATTGGGTTCGAGATGAGGGATGTGCATGTATTTCATCATCATAGACAGGCGGCGCTCCATTGCTCGCATTCAATTCGCCATTCGGCGAAGGTGGTAAATCGAATCGTACACGATTAGGTGTTCGAGGTGTATGTGTTTCATTATGTCCTTGTTCCTGTGCCTGTCCAGAATGGACTATGATATCCTCATCTTCACTTCCTGCTTCTTCGGCGAGAAGTCCAACATCTTCCTCCGGATTACGATTCGATGATTCTTCGTTTCTGCGATTGCTGTGCGATTTGGCTTTTGCCATTTTTGCTATCGTGGTAGCATGTTGTGAGTGAGATATTGGATTGGGAGGATTCAATGGTTTGGCCAGAATGCTTTCGTAGCTCAATGCGCCGGTAAATGCGGCCGCAATGCTGCATGCGGGCTTTAGCGTGTTTCCAATGATAGCTTGACAGTGAACCCTTCTCATCCACCAACTTTACAAATCTTGAGTGTTTGATCAAATTCTCTGAAAAATATATCCTACAATTATTGTTTGCTTATGGATTGTATACAACTATACTTCCGATCATTCTCACTCAATCTCATAGATTATCAGTTGTCATGCGAAAAGTACTTTGGAGGGGAAATCACACACTAAAATTTCGATCTTGTCGGCTGTGGTTGTACCGTAGATGGCTTTCCTTGAGCTATATCTCTGGAATGCGCCAATACTCAGCAAGGCCACCAAAGGGAGTTTTTGCTAGAGTTCGTCAGCTAGTAACTGTACTTAATTCTACGTTACTTGACTCCATTCGGCGTCACCAAGATGTATCTCGTTCGAAAGCTAAGCAAGCGGACACGAGAGATTTTAATTATTTGAGGTATGGAATAGAGCTCATATTTCGTCTATTTTCTATTCTCATTGTTCCTATTTGAATGTATGTTTGTTACTTGATGAGAGCTAGGCTTTTTATGTAGAGTTCTACATTCAATGTTGCAAAGAGTTGTTTCTTTTACCGAATATTTGGTGTAGAAGCTGCGTTTAAATGTTGCTGGCTACGCTCTAGTTGAGCTATCTAGATATAAGTTCACAGCCTTGCTTGATCTTGAAGTAACAGCTATAATGGAATGGGTCTGCAGGTTTTTTTTTCACCATTGGTCGATTCCAGATATATCTTGCAGATTTACAAGTAGACAAGTCCAATTTCGTATGATGCACAATAGTCTACGTTGAGACATTGCCAAGTGGCACTTCATTGTAGAAACGCTTCTTACATAAGCCTCTGAAGGAGACATCAGTTTCGCAATTCGTCTATTAGTCTTACTTCAATATGGTATCAAGAAAGGCAGGAAAAAACACATGATCAGAGGCTTGACTATGATCAAGTTGTGTTGACAAACAGATAGCTAGCCTATTCCTCATTCATAGAGCCTACAATCCAATGGCCATGTGATGTCTTTATGAAATCTCGCATGAACTTATTGGGAGGGCGTAAGAATTCATTGACTTGAGTGCTCTTTGGATTCTCTCATAATATGAGAAGACAGGGACTGGAGGGATAAGTTCTCGAGGTAGTGCCTTGAGCAGAATTGGCTAGACGGGACTCACCATGATTGCCAACGTGCCTTTGATGGGCAAACATGTGGAAGATTCCCTCTTGGAAAATGAGTCTGATGAAGAGTCATTTTACCCCCAGATGTATTTGTTTGTCCATTTGAATACATCAGACCGAATACGTCCGCTACTCTTCTTAATTCCCCACAAAGACAACTTAAAAACAGCCGAAAATTTATTTCTGGAGTTGTTTTCCATTTAAGGTTAGTTTATCGAACTTCCTTGGCACTAACGATAAACAAATTGCCACTTCATGAAACTTCATCTTGTTGATTGACCATAAGTGCTGACATAGTAAAGATCTAGACTCACCGGAAAGACTATTTTCAAGGCACCAAACATAATTTATACAATCATAGATCTCATTAAAGCCCTTACCACTGGAGTCAAAGAAATGAATATTTCTACTATCCCCACAATCAGTCTTACCGACACTCCCGAAGGTATCATCGAACTCATCGACTCACTGGGCCGTAGTGATCTGCCCACTAGCCCACCCTCTGTCTATATCGACCTGGAGGGAATAAACATTGGTCGTAAAGGCTCAATCGCGATCCTCCAAATCTACATCCTCCCGAATAAAAAGACCTTTCTCGTGGATGTTCACAATCTTCGTGAACAAGCATTTTCCACTGCCAATTCATCTGGCCTTACCTTGAAAGCAATCTTGGAGTCCACATTTATTCCAAAAGTCATCTTCGACGTCAGAAATGACTCTGATGCTCTGTATAGCCACTTCGGCGTAAAACTACAAGGGATCATCGACCTTCAACTCATGGAGCTTGCAACTCGATCTCACAGTCAGAAATTTCTCAGCGGGCTTGGGAGATGCATGGATAAAGATCTTGTGCAAACTCCTGAAGAGCTCAATGTTCGAAGCGCTATAAAGAAGCGCGGAGTACAACTATTTGCGCCAGAAAAGGGAGGAAGATACGAGGTCTTCAATGACAGGCCGCTTGATCCAGCAATCGTGGATTATTGTGTTCAAGATGTCCAACTCATGCCACAGTTATGGAACAATTACAATTCAAAGCTTAGTTTAATGGACAAGAGATGGGCTACTAAAATTGAGCGAGAAACAGAGGCTAGGCTTCTGTTGTCTCAGAGTCCAGGATTCAATGGGAAGGGACCGCATATGGCAAAAGCGCCACGCACGTGGTAGAGCATTGTTGATGTTCCTGTTAAAAAAGTTTGTATAGATATCAGATTTTGGCCTTCGATTGGGAAGTACATATCTGCATTTATATTGCTGTGGCTCGTTATTACTACTATAATGATTCATTGCCACAATCGAGACTGATTCAAATGAAATATGCAATTTATTGCCAAACACTTTATCTTCTTGGCTCCTATAGCGACTTCGCCAGGTCATTTGTTGAGACTGAGAGATGAATTTCGATGATACTTCCATCTTATAATGGAGACGATGTTATGAAATAACAACTATTTCAAGCAATTGGGTATGTGGTAACAGCCCAAGACTCGTGGATTTCCTACGTTATCACATTGCCCCCTTGACAGGTAGCCAAGCTTTGTAAGTAGTTGCGAGTGCGATTTATACATCTTCGCTTCGTAAAGCGTAGTGAAAACAGTAATGGGATCTCCCTAAACTGGAAGGGTTTTCCGACTAATCGATCTTTCCGTTATCATTTATGTACCTCCTCCTTTGTACTTTCCCGAATGCTAGGCACACGTTAAGTAGAATCGAGATCTAAATCTTTTCACATATTTCATTTTGCAACAAAAAAATAAAACACAATTCTGGATTACGATCAAATTTTGGTCTCATTAAATTAGTCATAATCCCATCTCGCCCATGTGGCCTGGGTGAAGATGGGTTCCTCCACTTGTTGCACTAGTCGTCAACCTCCTTCCCCCGATACAGTCTCACCTCGTCCTGTACGGTCGCCATCTCTTACTCCAATTAACACTCTGAGGAAGTCTCCAAGAAAAGCATCGAACTTAAGAATTGGGGAGCTACAAACGCAAGTCACTACACGGAGCTCAGCTACAAAAATGGAAGATACAACAGAAACAAGAGCCGTTTTTGAAGGAGAGCGTTCCCCTGATAGTGATAAAGAGAACGAAATTGTGGTGGTCGATGAAGGAGATAGTGACGATGATGACGAGGACGAAAGACGACAGGAGGTCAAGCCAATGCTCAGTTCCAACACACTCAAATCCGTCAAAAGCCGTTTAATAAAGACATTTTCCCGCGAACCTGGAATCGCAAAAGCCGATAAAAGAAGAAGTATAGGGACCAGCCAGGAAGAATTCGAGCGAAGGAAAGAGCTGAGAAGGATAAGACAAAAGAGAATTGAAGAGGAACTAAGCTATGATGATAGATATAATGAGGATGCTCAGTCTACAAGTACAGTAGATTGTCCTGCTATGCGGACCGACAAGGGTCAGAAGAGGCAATCTGTTCTACCAGAGGACAGTGGTAACTTTCCAATTTTCAGAAAGTGAGTAAATTCTTGGAGGTTAACAAAAGTCACGATTTTAATTGGTTATCCTAGGCAGAGCTCTTCCTTTGGATCGGAAGCAGTTAGCAATGGCAGCAAGATCTCTCTCTCTACCAGCAATAATGATAACACGAGCAAAATATCGCTATCAGCTACCAAGCTTGATGATACCAGCAAAGTATCCCTTTTAAAATCAGCAGATCGAGGAAAGTCTCGAACATGTTTAGGTCCTGGTGACCCAAACTCCAATCTTCTCAAACCTGTCAATACTCCACCACGAAGATACAGCTCGCCTGGCCCTTGTCCTACGCCCAGCAAGATTGACTTATTCCAGCCTGGCAAACACCACCTCAGGAAAATGGACAGTGAAGCTTCTGCCATACCTTCAGCACCTCTAATAGAGGCTCAACGATTGCCAAATTTTGCTACCCTTGATCCAAGCACGGTTTCGAGTTGGCGATTATCATATACCTCTCATAAAAGTAATCGTGGAGCGCATCTTCGAAGGTTAAGTCAACAATTTGAGGCTCCAATTCAATCAGCGACAGATGTTGCAAACGTAGGAACTCAAACACTACCACGCTGGCTGAAAACTCAGGGGCTCCGATCATCTTCGCAGGCTATTACTACTTCAGAAGGTAGTACCTCACAAAAAGAGCCATCTTTTATGCGTCCACCACGTTCAGATACTGGATTTGGTGGGGTTGATGGCAGCGGAAGCTTTTCAAATATGCATTTGCAGGATATGGACATCTCTAAACATCTTCTGCAGAGCTCTTGCTCGTCGCCACAACTAGTCAGCTACGAGAAGTATCAACGTGAAGCCTCCGGAATTAGTACTGCGACGCAAAGTCGTGCTAGATATATGCGAAACCCATCGGAAACAATATCAATCCCTTCATGCCCATCAATTGCACTGAGCGAGCTACTCCCACCCAATTGGGGAAAATTACCAAATGATGGAACATCTTCATTTTACCCTACCGTACCCAATAGCATCCAGCCTTCGCCAGAATGTTCACGGTTTGAGCTGTCTCCTTTCATGTCCACAAGCAGAAGCACTACTACAATGGTAGAGCCACAAGGTATGAGCCTTTTGACATCGCTTTTCTCAATTCACTAACATGATAGCAAGTAATTGATGGGAGTATTACTCCTCTTCGCTCACCATTAATGCCAGCAGCATTGGGGAGCAACACCCCTACCACAATCAATGTATCTTTAACGAGCCTTCAAGCCCCTTTAAGCAGATACTCCGCCAAACAAATTGATGAGAGCTCACTTTTTGCTTCTGAAACTACTAGTTTTCGAGAACGAGAACTGGAATTAAGTCACATACAAGCACGGTTTGCTTCGTCCAGTTTATGTCGACCTCCAAGTACACCAATATCAAGCAAGTTTCGCGAAGAATTTGACATTTCACTCACCCCTCAACCTAAATCTCCCTTTCAGAAGCTTGTCAGGGCTTGCTCGCTGAAAAGAAGTCGTGATGTTGTGGAAGAGGATCTATTACTTGCTCCTCCACCGCATAGATCAGGATTTGGGTATCGATTTGCCTCTACTCCCACAACTCTAGGTAGAAGGAGCCCAGCGTGTCATTCGACACCGACGAAGAAGACTGCAGAAAGACAACGATCCCTCATTGTTGATGATTCGATCGATACTCCAGTGAAAGGTAAATTCTCTGCATTTCGCAGATTCAAGCGCCTAGCTAGTTTGGGTGGGTACGATGGTCCAGCAGATGATCATCGGAGCAGTAGAGCCGAGTCTGGTCCTGCACGAAGACCATCTGCTTTGGATGCTAGGTTAGGCTTGGGCGCCGAGATGACCGCAAAGGAGGCTCAACGGAAAATATCCATACCTCCTAATATACCATCCATTAGATTACCAACTCCTGAGTCTTCAAGTATCAACACAGCTGACACTCACGAACATGGTGTTTTGGCTCGCATGGCCACATCTATGCATGTCCCGACAACGGAACTTCATATGCATGATACTCTTGCTCGTATCGGTACTGCCATACATATTGACTTGCCTACACCTCACTTTCCTAATGCCTCATCGATTCTTCATACCCCCATGTTGATATTACAACTCCTCACCTTCCCAACATTCCTCATATCAACTTTGGTCATCACGATTCCGATTCTCTACCAAAGGAAAAGAAAGGCTCCAAGGCAGCACCTGCAATCGTTCCAATTGCTGCACCAAAATCAAAAGTTCAAAGGACTGGCAATGATCCTCAAGGTGGAGTACCACAGTGGAGAGGCCCACGAGCTAGAAACCGCTCCACGACTAGGGATGATAATAGGAGAAGAATGGACACTAGTCAGGATGATTCCGCTGCTGTTTGGATGAGAGCAGTAAAGGGTGCTGTATCAGATAGATCCAAAGCACGCAAGGACAATCAAGACGGAGACGATATTTTTGGAGATTGGGAAGCAGAATTGGCTGGAGTTGCATCTAAATCCAAATACGAAAGCCGAAAATTTGGCTCGAGAGGTAAACCGAAGATCCATCAAATTGAACAATTTCCAGAAGCTTGGTGTAGATTTCCCAGCCACGAAAGAAATGCCAGGGGGCATGAAAGTGCGGGTGTAGAGTCGGCTGTTGAAGCAAAGGATTTTGCTATTTTGAAACCGGGAAATGGGGTTTTAGGGAGATCGGAACATTCTTATGGTACAAGGAGGAGAAGAAGGCCAGGTATGTACACTGAGAATAGTAGTGATCCTAGTAATTCCCAAGGAATATCTGATGAGGAATTGGATGCAATCGAAGCTGCAGAGCCGTTCTATAAACGGTGGAGTCAGAAAATCAGAATTGCTTGGATGGATTACAGAATTGAGGAGGGGCAAAAGAAACATGCTTTTCATTCAGGGAGCTTGGGAAGAAGAGGTTCGATGACTATGGATGGAAAAGTACCATTTCCAGAACTGGAATTGTTGCCAATGAGGGCACCCCCTCCGCCAAGTGAGGTGATAGATGATGAAGCGGATGATATTGAGGCGGAAAGAAAGAGAGTAGAAGCGATTCAGAAAGCTAAAATTAAACCCCATTATGAGGCGGCAGATTTGACACAGAGTAAGGGAGGTGTAAGTGATTTGTTGGATATTTTTAGTTCAGGACCTGAGGAGCCAGCTGAGCCAAAGATGCCTGTTAAAAAGAAGGGTCCAAAGGCAAAGAAAGTTAAAGACCCTTATGCATTGAATGAAGATGATGACTTGGACGGTGGCGATGGGGATAAGGGGGATGAGGACGAAATGCCCAAGAAGAAAGGAAAGAAGGTCAAGGATCCCTATGCAATTGATGAAGATGAAGATGAGGATTTTCGACCAGCCCCAAAAAGGAAGGAAAAAGCGAAGGATCCAGATGCAATTGATGAAGGTAACAATGAAGATATGCCTCCTGTTTCCAAGAAAAAAGGCAAGGCGAAAGACCCATATGCTATCGATAATGATATGGATGGCTCATCGGATTTTGGTTCTGGTGATGAGTTGAGCAAAATTGATCAAATCGTTATGAAAAAAGTGCTAAGCGATGATGATACGATCGGTCATACACGACTCGAAGACTCAGTTATCAGTTTTCGCGATCCTGAATTCTATCAGGATTGTTTGGTGATGCCCAAGGAACCAAGTCCTGTGCACGTTAAAGAATGTTCTGTGCTATCTAGTCATGGAATTATCGAAGAAGAAATCGAGGACCCATCTAAGAATGGTACGGGGATTGGAGTACAAGTTAAAGAGATTGGTGAGGGGGTTATTAAGCAGATTGAGAAATTTAGAACGTGGAATGGCAAAGATTGGGAGAAGGAGATGGGAGGATTCTTGAGAAGAAGAGACACGAGTGTAGGAAGGGATAGCATGAGAAGCGCGAGATCGGAATGGAGTATGGGAAGTCAGGGATCAATAAACACAGTAAGGAGTGTTGGAGTAGAAGTCAAGAGACTGGAGGATTTGGAGAGGGAAAGGAAGGCTTTGAGAAAGTGCGGTGGTCACTTGACAGGAGGTGTGCCGAGGAAGGCTAGAGGAAATAGAGGGTGGGAAAATGAGAGAGGACATGAAAGGAGCGCTAGTTTAGGGGGAGTTGTGGGATTTGAGGGATTAAGTGCCTCGAGTGAGACCAGGGGAAGGAGGTTGACGTTTGGAAGTGGCAGGTAGATGGTTGACTGATACGAAGGGTTAGGTTTAGCACCTTCAGAGGGAGTCTAAGCCAGCTCAACCTTCGTAGTCGGGGAGAAGGCGTTGGTTCTTTTGTTTTGGTGGATCGGAACTGATAGTCATTTTTGAAGTGGTCTAGGGCAGGTGTAACTTTTCGTTGGGCGTGGGTGGACATTATCTTGATGCGTTATTGATTTTTGAGACATTACTTTTAAGGCTGGATCCATTTATTAAAAATATTGAATCTTGAGGCCGGATAGATTATTAGGTTCTAATTGGTATAGCTATGGATAGGTGCAGATCGAAGGTGAAGAAGGTTTGGAGGATTTTTGGCTGGTATTGTTTTTTATGCAAGTTATACTCAAGCAGTTGTAAAATCAATAGACGCCACATAGATAGATAAATCATATGTTGTTATAATATATTGAATTAAAGTTGAGTATATTCATGTTGATCGTAGACAGATGACGGCTCGAGGGCTATGTTGTAATCGGTTGACTATTGGTCGTTGTGGGTGGGGATTAGTCAGAGACCGCTGTTAATTAAACGGACTGACATGCCATTGGACCTATAACATGTACTGATATTGGAATGCCTAAATGGGTTTTCATGGTTTCCCATAAAGATTAGCAGAATTTCCTCAGCCAATCAATGCATGGTTATTGGGAGTTTAATCCGTCAACCACCTGCAGTCAGCCTGGGGTAAATATCTCACCCCTGTACAACAAAGGCCACCCACATTTACGTTGTTGGCCATCGTGTTAAAACTTCAACTGCATATTGTATCTCCGTCACAACTTTCTGCGGCAAACAAGTTCAAGTCTCTATACGCGTAATTCTGCGTCATGTCTCAATCGCTTTATTCGTCGCTTTTGCTGGAGTCCAACAAAATTCGGTTGCTTCGCATATTGCCGAATGAGAACGAGGAGGCCGATATCAACTGTACTCTCTTTGTTTACCCACTACATGATTCCGGCAAAGGTACTCATCGATATGAATCTTTATCTTATGTATGGGGAGGTGCAGATAACTCTCGTTCCATTTGCGTAAATGGGCATAGTTTGACTGTCAGGGCAAACCTTCATCTCGCCCTCTCACGCCTTCGAGATCCTGTTTTAGACCGCATTATATGGATAGATGCTATTTGTATCAATCAAGAAGACTTGAGTGAGCGAGGTCATCAGGTTCAGCTTATGGCGAAGATATACAGTAAAGCAAGCCAAGTAGTCATTTGGCTGGGAGAAGCGGTAGACAATAGTGATCGAGCTCTTGAAGAAATAGTTATTGCCGCAAGCCAATCTGAAATCTCTTCAAATCAAATAACGCGGATGGCAGTTCTTGCACTACTTCAACGTCCCTGGTTTCGGCGCATTTGGGTAAGGTAATATCGCTTGATAAATTGTTAACTGTTATTAAAAACTGGTATAGGTGCTACAAGAGGTTGCCGCAGCTCGACACATCTTGATCATGTGTGGTCTTCTTGAAATCGACGGACATGCATTCTGTTTAGGGTTGGACTTATGGAAGGAATCTTTCGGAGCTTATCCAAAGTTGCAAAGATTGATTCGTTCCGTAATTTCCCTCATGAAGGAAGCAAACTTTCGGCCCAAATATGTAAAAAGTAGCTCGGACAATTTCTCCCTCAATATTCGACCTTTAGGCGAGCTGATCGAAACATATTGTACTCGGGAATCGACCGATGACCATGATAGAGTGTATGCTTTACTCGCCATGTGCTCCGATAATCCTACCTCAGCAGGCTTACTCCCTGACTACACCATTCAATGGGAACAACTCTTTCGGCAGCTTATCAAGTATCTTCTATGCAAAAAAGTCACTGTGAGGTTCCCGCGAGATAAGAAAATAGCAGTGATCAAAAGTAAGGGCTTTATTCTTGGCGATGTGGTTTCGGTGAAGGTCGATGCTGGTTGGAATGGCACGCAAATGGTGAATTTCGATTTCACTGATGCTTTTAGACATTTGCAAAGCAAAACAGGAATACAAGCTATTTGGAACATCCCGATGACGGGGAAAAGCATACGGAGGGGTGATATCTTTTGTATTTTACAAGGTGTCTCAAACCCAACGATTATCAGACTTTGTGGGGATCATTTCTCTGTCATTGTGATTGCAGCAACTCCTATGGATTTCACGTTAGAAATGAAATCAAAGTGGCACAGAACTGCGCGATCAATAACAAATTTCCCATGCGACTTCCTACTTGCATGGGACTTGGGGGGGTCTCGGAAGAAGTTAGGAAGTCTGGAATCTGAGAACTTGAGAGGGCCTGTCAATTCAAACTCAATACTCGAGAATAACTTAGATACGGATGAGACTCAAGGGGCGGAGAAAAATATAGAATCAAGCGAAGAGATACGTGACGGTTTGGAGGCGAAGACTAATGTAAAGGCGGAGGGCTGCTCAGAATTGGAGCGGAGTTCAGAGGCGAAGGAGAATTCCGATTCTAATGAGAATTCCGATATTCATGAGTATTCGGAAGCAGATGAGTGTTCGGAAGCAGATGAGTGTTCGGAAGCAGAGGCGTATTCATATATGAATGAGAATTTAGAAGCAGGAGAGCATCTAAATCTGGATGGTTATTCAGAGACTGGGTCGAGAATATGGGATAAAGCGATTAGAATGCGTAACGTAGCTCTGATATGGAAAGAATTAGGATGGTATGTTGATGCAGAAGAGTTACTTCTGCAATTGATACGGACAGGAAAACAACTACAGGGGGTCGAACACCCACAAACACTAATCAGTATAGCTGCTCTACAGTTAAATTATCGAGAGTGGGGACTCTTGGGAGAGGCAGAAGAGCTAGAAGCAATGAAGCATCTCCTTGAGACAGGAGAAAGCGCCGCTCAAGTTTTAGAAGAAGAGGTGGTCAAGATTGCATCATTACGATATTGCAAAGCAATGAAGCTCTTACTCGAGCGGAGAAACGGCCATATTCCGATCACGGAAGAGGTAGTCAAGGCTGCAGCAGCTAACTACTGCTGCGGAACTGATGTAATGGAGCTATTGTTCAGAGAAAGAGAGGACCTATCAATTACAGAAGAGGTTGTTCGAATCGTAGCAGGAAATATAAATGAGGGATATAAGATAGTGAAACTTCTATTTCGGAAAAGAGGGGATCAAGTCCCGATTACACAAGATATAATTAAAGAAGCAGCAGGTAATAGGCGGGAAGGATATCTTATAATACAGCTTCTCTTTGAAAAAAGAGGGAACCAAATTCCGACCACAGAAGAAGTGTTAAAAGCTGCAGCAAGGAATGGTAAGAGTGGATGTGATATAATGAAGCTTCTTTTGGAAAGAAAAGGAGACCAAATTCTGATCACAGAAGAGATAGTTAAAGAAGCAGCAGGTAATAGGCGGGAAGGATATCTTATAATACAGCTTCTCTTTGAAAAAAGAGGGGACCAAATTCTGATCACAGAAGAAGTATTAAAAATTCTAGTAGGGAATGGGGGGTATGATCTAGTAACAATTATGTCAACTCTCTTTGAGAGGCTAGGGGATCAGGTTCCTATTACAGAAGAAGTATTAGTAATTCTAGCAGGGAATGAGTGGTATGGGACAGTAGAAATTATGTCAGATCTCTTTAAAAAGCTGAGGTATCAGGCTCCTATCACAGAAGATATAGTTAAAGAAGCAGTAGGTAATAAGCGGTATGGATATGATATTATGAAGCTTTTCTTTGAAGAAAGAGGGAACCAACTTCTTTTCACAGAAGAGGTATTTAAAATCGCAGCGGGGAATGAGGGGAAAACCGCAAAAGACATGATGTCGATTCTTTTTGAAAGAATGGGGGATCAATTTCCAATCACAGAGAAGACGTTAGAAGAGATACTAGAATTGGCAGCAAAGAAGTGGCAGCCCGATTTTGTAAAGCGTCTTTCCACATGGAAACTGAAAGGACATGGTAACTAGGGGTCTTCAAGCTTGATTTCTTTCTAAATAGGCTCTATTTACATGTCTTTTGATTATGAATCGGATGAGTCGGGAGACTTGAATACTATGGACAAAAGCAACTCATCCCACATTTTACTCATTCTTCCCGTCTCGCTTCAAATTCCCAGTCTTTTTTTCTTTCCCCACCCGCTAAAAACCGATCAGGATAGGGAGTTGATTCGCTTACTCGACCCATCCATCCTCTACCATCTTTTCCCTTCCTCTATCTCCCTTCCCTCCTTCGGTCTACCATGCTCTCTCTCTATAAACAAACGGAACGAATCATACCATCAAAACAACCAATTAGATACTAACCTATATAGCTCAAACCCTTGATTCGCGTATTCCGAGAGCCCAAGTTTAGCATTCACCCACTTTCGTATTTTACTTACAATGCAAAAAACATTCCCTCCTCCCCCGGCCCAGAGAATAAGAATGACAATGCCCAGACAGTAATTCGGTAATAAGTAACGAGTATTATATAATTTCCCCATATAGCAAGCAATTCTGCGATTCTCCCTTACCAATACCGAATGTATATTAACCACAATGAAAATCCACTAACCCCCCCATCTTCAACCAAAATGCTTAAACCACCTATCCTCTCAAGAAGAAAGAGCAACCCCGTTCTTAGAAGATGAAACAAGCAAGCAGGATAGGGATATTCCAAATATCCAAGATAGCATAAAACAATAGAAGAGGTTCCTAAGCAGACATAGTAGATATTATACGAGCTAACGAGAGAGATACTGAGTATTGTATATAAGACCTGGATACTTCCAGTCGATGTATACATCACCTCATCTTGCCCTTGACAATGTGAAGTACGCACAATCCATTCATTCATCCATCCACACAACCATCACCTTCACCCCTCAAACTCCAAAGTCCAAACCCAACACCAATAACAAACCCTCTACTCCACTCCCTTCTCCCCTTCCCCGCCGCCCCACTCGTCCCCCTCCCACCAATCTCTCCCTTTCAACCCCTCCTCTCTCCTCCCCACTTACATTCCTCCTTCATAAATCTCCTCCCGTTCCCTCCCACAACAAAAAACGGGCTTGTGGTTTAGTGGTATAATGTTCCCTTAGCATGGGAGAGGTCCGGCGTTCGATTCGCCGCTAGTCCAATACATTTTCATCGCTCATCCTCTCATCGATCAAAAGATGAGGCGTTGATGAGTTTGTCTTTTTGAGCAAATTTTCTAAGCGAGATTCTTTTTTTCCGTTTTTTTATGTGGGGGACGACTCCACTGTCTCAGAAACTCACAGGGATTAGTTTGCTATGAGGATTTGGAGGAATAGATAAAATCAAATTCAACAGCTAAAACAAATCTCTCTGTTTCATTTTGTGTGGTTGAGATGCTTGGGGTGATGAGGAATTGAGGTTGTTTTGGCGAAATGCATGATCACTCGGTTGGATTTTCGCCTAGAGTAGTTAATGCGGCTATATTTCAGGGGCGTTAATCTTCGTTCCATCTCGATGGCTGCTTCTAATCCTAGATCCGGCTGGAAAATATCGGACCAGAAGTGATTCCATGCATCGGTAAGAGGTAATGGGAGTTGAGTTTCAAATTTATATCGTCATCGTCTTTCCATCTTTAATACAGTGATCAGAGGACATAACGCCGAAAGTCAAGAAACTAGCCTATTTATCGCTTTTATTCTACCCAAACTATTTACAATTTACACTTCAAAAGGGTGAATTAATTTGATCCATTTAAAACCTCCCCATCAACACCACCTGCAACTCCCTTATCCTGTATTTCCATCTTCTCCTTTGCAGCTTCACCACCTACTACTGTGTATTTTGCGGGTACAATATTCTTGAGGGGTGGTAATAGACTCCTGGAGGTTTGACGGGCTTGCTGTGCCATTAATGCATCGATGACTGTGAGAGCTGCCATTGCCTCTACAATAGGTACTGCACGAGGAACAACGCATGGATCATGACGACCCTTGGCTTCGAGAATACCGGAACCACTACCGTCATAAGTGGCAGTTTGTTGGGCTTGACCGATGGTGGCTGCTGGTTTGAAAGCTACACGGAAATAGATGGGTGCACCATTTGTGATACCTCCTTGAATACCAGCAGAATTGTTTGTCTTAGTTGTTAACTTAGGACGAGGAATTCCATTCTTTGATGCACCAGTCTCGAGAGGTGGTACTTCAGTAGCAAGAATAAATGGATCATTGTGTTTGGAACCTGGGACCTCACAACCACCGAATCCGGATCCGATTTCGAAACCTTTGGAAGCTGGGATACTAAGCATAGCATGAGCAAGCATTGCTTCCATCTTATCGAAACAAGGTTCACCAAGACCGGATGGAACATTGCGGATCACACAAGTAACAGTTCCTCCAATGCTGTCTTGTTTATCTCTATATTCTGCGATGATTTCGGCCATTTTCTCGGATGCTTTAGCGTCGGGGCAGCGGACCGGAACGAATTCGTCGACACGTTCCCGTGTAACGTCTTGTATAAGTGAGAGGAAAGCGGGGTTTGTGGAGGGACTTGGGTGTTCAACGGTTGGTGGGAACATATGGGTACTGCCAACGGAAGAAACGAATGCGACAATCTCAATTCCATGTGCGAGTCTTAGATATTTTTCAGCAATGGCACTGGCTGCCACTCTACCAATTGTTTCTCTTGCGCTACTTCTTCCACCACCACTGCTAGCCTTTACACCGTACTTCTCGAGGTATGTCCAATCCGCGTGAGAAGGACGAGGGTATAGGTCCATTGTTTTGTTTCCATAATCGTGTGGTCGTTGGTCTTGATTACGAACAATCATTCCAATAGGTGTGCCAAGGGTAATTCCGAATTCTGTTCCAGATTGGATCTCGACTTTATCTTTTTCATCGCGGGGAGTGGTGAGGGCGGATTGACCTGGACGACGACGAGTCATTTGAGGTTGAATATCTGCTTCTGTGAGCTCCATTCCTGGTGGAACTCCATCGACTATACATCCTACAGAGCGACAATGCGACTCTCCGTAGCTATAAGAAGGACGAGAAGTTAGTACTTTTGTAGTGATTTTGGAATGGAGGGGTAACTTTGCGTGGAACTGGAACTGGTGATGGTGATGATGGGTCAATTGAATTGAATGGTTTGTACATACGTAGTAACTTTGAAGTATTGACCAAATGTAGACATATTGAGAAGAAGCGTGAGGAATATGGAATAAAGTAGAGAGGGTATCAACAAGAGTCTATATGTAAATAAAAATCGAAAAATGAATTGATGACTCTTTCTTGACTTTTTCCGAGCCCGGACCCGATTCGTCGGGATGATGTGGGATGATGTGAGATGGGAAAAGAAATCCCCTGGTCATCGAGAGTCTGGTGGAGGTAATGTGGTAATATCCCGAAGAATACCCTTGTCAATTCACTAGGAAATCTGGAAATGCCAATTTATCTGAACCATCTCCGAACTTCGTATGAAGAAGTCAACAAATTCAACGTCCGGAGGATATTTTGGGTGCTTGGGTATTTCCAAATGTACCAAAAATCAATAATTCCTTCGAGAGGACTAATGCGCCAGTTCGTATTACGTGGCAGAAGCACGATAACCAAAGGGTTCTTTGTTCGAAGAAATGTTTCCACTCATAGTAGTGTATCAATAGGGAAATTCGTCCAAGAAGCTACCAATCCAGCCAACAAATCCCAAATATACATATCACGAACAAACGATCCATTCATTAACTTATCTATCGAGCATTATCTTCTACAAAAGACCCCCGCAGATTCTACCATCTTATTTCTCTATACCAATGAACGCAGTATTGTTATTGGACGAAATCAAAACCCTTGGAATGAAGTGAATCTTGGTCTACTCGCACAATCCCCAATTGGAGATGTAGCATTGGTTCGACGACGTTCGGGTGGAGGAACAGTCTTTCATGATCTTGGAAATGTCAATTACTGTGTCATATGCCCTACGTCGCATTTCGATCGCGATAAACATGCCGAGATGGTAGTGAGAGCTTTACATAAGCTTGGTGTTGATCGGGCTATGGTTAATGCTCGACATGATATAGTATTGAAGCCAACAGACGTGGGTACAAGCGGGTTCAAAGTATTCAAGGTATCAGGTTCGGCCTACAAATTAACAAAGGAAAGATCTCTTCACCATGGTACTTGTCTACTAAACTCTCCAAATATTGCAGACATTGGCAAATTCTTGAGGTCCCCTGCAATGAGATTCATCACTGCTCGTGGTGTGGAAAGTGTTAGTTCTTCAGTTGCAAATGTCAAGATTCAAAATAAGGCATTCGAACAAGCCGTAGTAGAGGAGTTTAGTGAGATGTATGGTCCTAAAGAACCAATACTCTTACGGGAGGATGTCAAAGAAGTTCCCGAGATATCTAAAGGTTTGGAAGAGCTTACTGTGCGTGATTAGACCCTCCCTTTTCTCACTTTAGAACCTCAAGCTGACATTTTGGAAAACAGTCTTTAGATTGGATATTCTCACAAACTCCCCAATTTTTGTTTTCAGCAGATACATCAATAAAAAATAAAAACACACAGCTTCCGCTTCCCAGAGACTTGCCACCATATGTGAGTGTAGCACGGGAAATTGAAACACGATCGACATTACTGATGCAAAGATACAGTTCAAGGCCAACTTCACAGCACGAAATGGAGCTATCATCGAGGCTGATGTGGAATATAAAGAAAATGGCGAAACGGTCCAAATTGGGAAGGACCTTGTGAACAAGAAGATACATGAAATCGAATGGAACATGTTCCCTAGTAGTTTTGCTGAGGAACCTTTGAAATGGTTCAGCAGATTATTCTCCCACAAATTTGTGGATTGGAGAAGAGAACGGAAAAGGGATGCTTGAACTTTCCCAGTAGAAAGCTTAATGCGCCTCGAGATTCCAACGTTAGTGTCGTCACACAAAACGTTAGACTACGGTTCCATGGACAAACGTTTCTTTTGCATGTTCAATATACTAAATAGATACCCAATGACAAGTGTCCCTTTTCATCATAGCCGCATTGACACTTTATCGATACTTTGAAACAACAAATGTTCACCAATTGAGGTTTATCAAAGCGGGAGATCTGCAACCTGATTGTTTCGCGTAATTTCACCCACGTTTCTTAAATCAAGATAACCCCATAATACTTGCAAGGCATCCTGAAAGGAGTGGCGTTACAAATCTCGCAAACATAACGTTAGAGAAATTGGCATAGTATGGAAGTCTGCAAGAAGGTTTGAAAAGTCGGCGAGTTCGATAATCTAGCCGTTTATGGTCTCATTTCAAAAATAGAAGACTCGTCAGCGAGACAGGATGATTATTGCATTCCCAAGCATGATCTGTTCCAATACATGGGCTCGAGAGCTTTCAAATGATCACAACCAACCCGATTATCCATCTGTTCTCAACTTCAAGTCAATAGTACGTGATTTCTTGTCATCCGAAACATGGATTGGCTTCATGTATGTGGGATAATGAATTTGATTTAGTGTGCAAAGTACCGGATGTCCATATAAGTATTGAAAGTCGCTCACGAGCATTCTTTTCTTCTTACTCTAACAATCATAATATCTTCATTCACTCCTTCTATACATTTTAACATCCCGGCAGGTCCGTTTAATATTCTGTTCTATTTCATCTAGACCGGTTCTATCTTTTTTCATAACAATTATGCAATATTCAACACTTTTTGTCTCTTTCCTCTTCTCCACTGCTGTGGCAGCTCAGGGTTATAATGGAACCCTTACTGAGACACAGACATGCAAAGAAATGTTGAAGTTGAACGCCTTGGTTCAGTTGGCCAACAATCAAACCAAGGTCGATGCTATCACCGGAAGTACGTTATACTCCAAGATTCTCCGAATTTCACCAACTTTCTCAGCTCTCTATAAATCAACCCTGAGACATTCAGACTAATATCCACCAGATAACGCAACAAGAGCTGCTTCTCTCCAAGCTCAAGCTTCAGCCGCTTCCGTGAAACTCACGGAGCTTCAAAGCAACACTACCCTCATGGCCGACTGTGCTGTCATTGATTCAGCAATCATGACCAATTCATCATGCACTCAACAATTTCTCCTTCAAAAATTCGTTGACTTCGCCGCCAACGAAACATTGGTTACAGCCACCGTCAACAATGACATGACCAAAGTAGCAGAAATCGAACTCAAGGCCTCAGATGCCGCCGAAAAACTTCAAACATTACAATCAAATGCTACATTACAAGCAGCTTGTCCCGCAGTCTTCATGGCCGATGAATGTAAAATGGTAGTTGCTCTTCAAAAAATCGCAGATCTAGCGATGGATGATTCGAAATTGAGTAAGATTGCCAAGGGCAATTCGACAAAGGAGGCGAATATTAAGGCTGCCGCTAGTGTAGCTAACATGCAGGTTATGATGTTGGAGGCGAATGCTACTTTGATGGCGGAGTGTCAGAGTATGGGAATTGAGGTTTCGAATGGTGAGTTTATTTTTTGTTTGTTTTGTTTTTGAAGAGAGAGAGGGGTGAAATGAATGAAGACTAACTTTGGGTTACAATAGCTGCCACGGAAAAATCAACTTCCTCTACAACCGCCAAGTCGTCCGCGAGCATTAATAAGATGAGTCTTACTGCGCTCTTTATGGGTGTTTTGGCTATGGGTATGGCTACGTTGTAGATTTTCTTAAAGGGGATATAAGGATTGGGGGTTGAGATAGGGATGTCGATTTAGATGAGGGTGGTGTTTTTAGAGTAAATATATTAGAATTGAATTTGGAATGGGAATGGATAGAATATAATTTACATTCGTTTATCTTATCATGAGTTGGATGAGTAGATTTGATTTAGGAGATCTGATTGTGGTTGGTGAGGTATCTTGATGTTGTGTTGTGGTGATGTTGTGTTGTGGTGATGTTGTGTTGTGGTGATGTTGTGTTGTGGTGATGTTGTGTTGTGGTGATGTTGTGTTGTGGTGATGTTGTGTTGTGGTGATGTTGTGTTGTGGTGATGTTGTGGTGATGTTCTGCTATTCTCTTGATTCGGGCATTGCTTGTTGGGCTTGGGGTATGTGGTTTGAGTTTATTCGACTTTGGGGGGGGGGGGGGGGGGGTTATCCTGATTGATGGGTTATATGCTCTATTCTACTTGCTATATGATTTCACTACACAGATACTTCTAGCCATCTATCATTATCTCACCAGTAAACGAAATTATCAGTAAAACCAAAGCAGCCAGAAGGCATCTCAACAGGTGCAAACAAAATGAACAATAATGTAAAAGAGCAAGGTTTCTTCATGTGAGTGATGATATGTCTCCTGAGTACTAGTGTTAGTGAATGCGATTATTTCTGGAGGGACAATATTACTTTTTTACATAAGAATGGCGACAATATTAATAACAACCCACCTTTTGAGTGATGGAATGGAGCGAAGAGGTAAGAGATGAATCGTTCTATACTGGTCTTATTTGCTGCACACGCAAAAATACTTGATTCGGTATGACGAATGCATTTATTGCGGACATCACAACGTTGAATCCCGAAAGGAAAGGAACGAGCGCATCTTCAGGATCATTTAGATCTTCATACGCAAGCTCATCTCTAAGCTTCCTCAATCAGGTCGCCATTGTTCTGGAGATTGAGATACGCTTTGTGGCATAGCAATAACCTCTTATGTGTCATTATTCATCCACTGCTATCAGGCCCAGGTTGTTTTTTTGATTCTGGATGTATTTACAAAGTTAGTCGCGGACCAAAAGAGGTCGTCCATGATAAAACGCCCGTTTCCCCCGATGCAGCAAAAGTAAGGACTTGAATTGCAGAACATGCGACATTCTCTCCATAGTTCGGTAAGCATTCTCTCGACGCCCCGGAGTTGTACAAAACAAATAAACAAATAAACAAACGTGAAACCCGCATTGTACCAGTACCGACCAACGTGTAATCCTGTGAGCACAATTTTCAATGACACATGACCAATTGATCCATAGAAATTTGCCTAAGAACCACCGCAAGTCTTCCAAACGCTTTCCGTACATTGATAGGCCTCATGACACCGTGGCCTGGAATAATTCCAGGTTTTCCGTCCAACTCGCTCCAAAGCACATCCTTTTGTCTCGCAGAAAACAATCCAGTTCCGCTCACCCCAGAGACTGAATTGAGGCCTAGAGCTTGCTCGATGCCCTCCATTATGTGTGCAATGATCTCACAGAAGACAATTCCCTGTATGCATGGTTCTGACACAGGCAAGCTGCCTAAAGAGAGGCCTGGGAGGTCTACGACGGGGTTTGTGGCAATTTGCGCAATGCGGGTATTCATAAGCTCAATGTTCAGCTCGCAGAGTGTAATGAGTTGGGTGAAAATACTTGTGATGGTTAGAGCAAGAGGTGCAAACAATATTTCTGGAGCGGGGGAGGAACTTGATGAGGAAAACGATGTTGGATCACGGGGTTTCCCTAAGTGTGCTTGCGATGATATTGTTAATGATTCCAGTAAATTTGTCTCTGTTGTTTGCGTGGAATACGACATACCGCGAGCCGTCCGGCTGCTGACAATCCGTCTCAATATAAGTTTTAAGTCTTGGGATGCCTTTAACAAGAATTGAGCCAGCGTAAGGTTTTCAATAAACAGTGGGCCTTTTTCATAGACGATGCCGTTGAAATCTAATGCTGCTCTATTCGCATCTACAGCAACCATACGGGTGTGCAAGTCAAGATTGATTTTGGAAAGCTCAGCCATGGCATCTGAAGTTGTGATAGATCGTATTAGAGGTGAGCGCAGCGTCTCCGAGATATTTTCTTCGGCGCCATGATTGCTACCAGCAGGCGATGAGACTGTCGAGGGGGGTGTGTTGAGCGGGGAAGCAGATGATGATGCGCTGCTGAAGGTCGACTCGTTGTTGGATAAGAAGAAATTGCGATCAAGGTCATTGGGAGTATCCCACGCGAGGAAGTTTTGATCAAAAGAGTTCATATCAACAGCTGGCCATACTTGTGCTCCGGAATATGTTTCATTATTTGTTGGAACGAGTGCAGCCATTGGAGTGTCCATGAGAAAGTTTATGCCCCAATTCTGGTGGTTTCCTTCCTTATTCGAAGGATTTTCATGAGATGTGGTGGGATTTGCGACATGGTTGTGTACCTTGGCTGGTGTAACTTGCTGATTACTGAGAGTTGAGCCTAGATTCTTGCGGTGTTTATCTGCCTCAGCATCTGCAGTTGCAGCTCGTCGCGGTCTTCCAACTCTCTTTTGTTGTCCAACAATGCAATCTAGGTCGAGAAGCGTGCACCGCACACATTTGGAATTGTTCGCATATAAACGTTGACATCTTGCCTTAATTTTCCTACAGCACTCACACGAGAATCGTCTTTGTGATGGATGAACCGCTGCACCGCCCATGTTAGAATTTCCGTGGACAAATGAATGTCCAGAATACGTACAGTCGACAGAGTACTTAGTACATGTTTACAAACAGATGCACAAAACCCCTGGGTCACGCCTCTCGAAAGCCTCCGCGGAGGGTTTTGAGTGTACGTCCGTATGGATTAGTGATCACATTTGGGAGCAGCCGATTGTGGCTATCTTTGGTCCCGCTAAAACTTTATTCCTCATCTTTTTATGGGACCGTGCATAAACCTTAAATTTTCAGATTGATTTCATGGGGCTCAAAATCTTTGCTCGCGATCGGCTCTCCGCCTCCGATTGCTCAAGTTGTGGTTGTGCCACCAGGGTTGATGTCCATCACCTCGAGATCACCACCACATATTTGCCAAGCTCACTCTTATATCACATCCACGTGACTTTGGCTATCAAACTGACTGGCTGCTCGTAAAGCTGCCCCTGATGTGGACATGGTGAGCTAGTGCCTTTGGTAATGTCAGAAGGAGGTTTCGAGCATGTACTATTTCCTAAGGTTGCCAAATGATAGATATGTGATGGATTCCCTTATTCTATCGATATAGTGTCATGCTGAGTATTTAGCTCGCAAGCTTGTCTTTGGTAGTCAGAGACCAAGTCTCAATATGAAGTGGCACAACATCAGCACCCTTTCTCATTGCCCGGGCGTTGTCAATAATTGAACGCACTGCACGATTTACACATGGCAATTGTTAGAAAGGGATTTATTTGTACCTGAATATTCACAAATTGCATGACAAATCTAAATATCCATGCATTGCAATCTCTTATCTTACGTTACGTCCTTACTTATTTACTCTGTCCACTCTCTCCTGACAGGATTACGAGACTGTCATCAAATCTTTTGTGGCGAGAGATGTTGTCTACCCTCACTCGGTCAGATCTTCTGTGGGCGAATAGGTTCTGATCTTCCCGTCAAAGGGGCCTCACTTCTCTCCCCACCTCACCCTTAAAAAAGATAAGGCTTTCATACTTGATTCCATCACGAAAAACAAGGATGAGAGAATTGCAGACGCTATCCTCAAAAAGCAAAAATCTGCTCCAGGGCAAGATTGGGCATACTCTCAAGTCGACTTCTTTGTCCACCGCAATCAAGCCTTTAAAGGCTGCTTGCTATATTCAGACTGAGTTTCTGCGTCATGATGACAGATTAGAAAAGTGATTTAGCATTTCGAATGTGGATAGCCACAGGGAAGAGTCTTCATCTGGAATTCTGTAGCTATTGATTGTCCTATAATGATGTTCGTGGAGGATATCTTGATAGCATTTAAATTAATTCTGTAGCAAATCTGCCAGTTACGGAGAATGCAGGAAGATGTGGACCCATATCCTGAAAAAACTGGAAAAGGGGCTGAGGGAATTGCGCAGAATTTGTTCAAGAGGTATCCTGAGAGCTCATCCCAAGCGGCCAGCACGCGAGGGCCATTTTTTTTTTAACATCTGACAACTTATCCAATACTTTTCGTTGTGAGAGGAGCAATCCTGAACTGCCATACCCCAAGATTGCATATGATTTCGTCTTCTGTATGAATAAAAATTGTGAAACATTTGCTTTCAAGACGCAATGAAGCGACAACCGAGAAGAGCAATTCAAGATCACACAAAGTGATTCAGGAATGCCTCATGGCGTAATCTAAAAGCAAATTTAGTGGGAGCACCAGAGTTCATTTACAAGGTAGGATATGCTAGAGTCGACGATGTGGAGAGCTAAGAGGAGACTGGTTGTCGTGTTGATTTCTTTGCTTAAACGCAAATTAGAACCGCAAAGGTAGATTTGTCACGTCATTCTCAAGAGAGTCCCATCTGTGAAAGTGTCATTCCCGAAGGACAGACGGACGCGGTGACATATCAATCCGAGACGGACTTTCGATCTGCTGCTTCGATAAAAAAAAAGCAAAGAAGGTTGACTGATACGAATGTATGATGGATGAAGACGGAGTATTTTTTAGTCCAGCCAGAGCATGATCACTCTAACTTTCCACCACTTGACTAACGTAATCGCTCGGGGTCCCTTCCGGAGTCCGTTGTGCTCTTCTACAAAATTGAAGTTTCGATGCTCAATGACATTCATGCTCTGATAGCATCAGAGCACGCATCAACTTTCTAGTGGGGCTTTTTAAATCATTAAATCGTATCTCATTGGCTGCGGAGGGTTTTGACTGCCCCAAAGCTTTTCACGTACTTATTATTTTCACCCCACATTTCGGAGGCTTTAAGATGGTCATGAATTGTCCACACATTGTATCTGAATAACACGAAATTGCAATACTGTAAAAGCCATCTCCTTCACCTACGGATGGTTTTCTAATATACTCATTTATCATAGTACGTACGTATCAAAGAGCCGATATGTTTGTAAGATTAGGATTTTTTAATCCACAATCTTCGCTATATATGTGTTCAGCATGTGGCCATCTTGTGGAATTCTTGTACACAAATCCACATGATTCATATCTATCCTTGCAATTACAGTTTTCCACCTTTGACTAATGCTCAATTCGTCAAAAATGGAAAGCGAGACCAGTTTCGAGGATGGAACATCTAATATTACCAAAGTTGAGGATGTGGGAGCAACAAGAGTCATGTCACGGAATGAAAGGACATGGCACATGGCAGCAGAGGTACAAGAAATCAAAGAACGAGACGAAGAAGGTGGACAGCTTCCTAGAAAGCTTGGTGTAACCTGGCAAAACCTCACTGTTAAGGGGATCAGCAGCGACGCCACATTTAATGAAAATGTTCTCTCGCAGATGTATCCATTCCACAAGACAGCCAAAGAAAGTCCGATGAAAACGATCATCGACAACTCATCCGGCTGCGTCAAGCCAGGCGAGATGATGCTTGTCCTTGGACGGCCTGGCTCAGGTTGCACGACGTTGCTCAATGTACTCTCGAATAACAGACTAGGTTACGAAGAGATCACAGGAGATGTTAGCTTTGGGAATATGTCAGCTAAAGAAGCGAAACAATATCGTGGCCAGATCATCATGAACAACGAAGAGGAAATCATGTTTCCCACTCTCTCAGTCGAGGATACCATCACCTTTGCCGCTCGCATGAAGACACCCTATCACTTGCCACCTGGTATCAAGACGGCTGAGGAGTACGCCCAATTTAACAAGGATTTTCTCCTACGATCGGTGGGTATCTCTCACACTGCCTCTACAAAGGTTGGTGACGCCTTCACTAGAGGTGTTTCTGGGGGAGAACGGAAGCGTGTGTCAATCATTGAATGCTTAACAACTCGAGCCAGTGTTTTCTGCTGGGATAATTCAACAAGAGGACTTGACGCTAGCACAGCTCTAGATTGGATCAAGGCAATTCGAGTCATGACTGACGTCTTGGGGCTCACAACCATTGTCACTCTTTATCAGGCTGGCAACGGTATCTACGAACATTTCGACAAAGTCCTTGTCCTTGACGAGGGCAAACAAATCTTTTACGGAAAACAGAATGATGCTGTTCCTTTCATGGAAAGCCTGGGATTCATTCGAGATTCTGGCTCTAATCGGTCAGATTTTTTGACCGGTGTGACTGTACCCACCGAACGTCGCATTGCTCCTGGCTTTGAGAAATCCTTTCCACGTACAGCCAGTGAAGTCCGTGCCGCGTACGAGCAATCAGAAATCAAATCTCAGATGTTGGAAGAGTGCCAAAGCTATGTGACAAGTGAAGAAGCCAAGGAAAATACATCAGTGTTCAAAGAGATGGTACGCCTTGAGAAGCATAGAGGAGTGTCCGAAAATTCTCCAGTTACTACCGATTTTATTACTCAGATTAAGGCTGCTGTCACCAGGCAGTACCAGATTATGTGGGGTGATAAGTCGACACTCATTATGAAGCAAGGCGCCACAGTTATTCAAGCATTGGTTGGTGGCTCACTCTTCTATGCCGCTCCAGACAATTCAGCAGGCCTTTTCCTCAAGGGTGGCGCCCTATTTTTTTCGATCCTATACAACGCTCTTATAGCTCTTTCGGAAGTCACAGATTCGTTCACAAGCAGGCCTATCTTGGCTAAGCATCGTGGTTTCGCTCTATATCACCCCGCAGCTGTTTGCCTTGCCCAAATTATTGCCGACTTTCCTATTCTGTTGTTCCAGGTCACCCACTTTGGTATTGTTTTCTACTTCATGGTTGGTCTGAAGACAACAGCTGGTGCATTCTTTACTTACTTGGTCGTCAATTTCATGACTGCCATGTCCATGACATCTCTCTTCCGGTTTATCGGCGCTGCTTTCCCTACCTTTGATGCTGCAACCAAAGTCTCAGGTCTTACAACGGTCGGCCTCTTCTCATATATGGGCTACATGATTACTAAGCCTGACATGCATCCGTGGTTCGTTTGGATCTACTGGATCAACCCTATGGCGTACGGTTTCGAATCTCTTCTTGGTAATGAGTTTCATGGGCAACAATTGGATTGTGTTGGCCCTTACCTCATTCCAAATGGTCCTGGATATGCGACTGGTGAGGGTGGACAGTCATGCATTGGTGTTGGGGGAGCAGTCACTGGAGCCACAAGTGTCACAGGTGACGAATATCTTGCATCTATGTCCTTCAGTCACAGCCACTTATGGCGCAACTTTGGCATCGTCTGCGCATGGTGGGTACTGTTTGTTGGGCTTACGATATTCTTCACTTCCAAATGGAAACTTCTAGGAGAAGGTGGCCGGAGTCTTCTCGTGCCTCGAGAACAACAGCAAAAGTCGAAGCATCTGCTACAACCTAAAGATGAGGAGACACAAGCTCTTGAAAAGCCTCTGCCTGAGTCTGGATCTGTCTCTGGAACTGACACGCCTAGTGGGAGCGTCAACAAAGACCTTATCCGCAATAAGAGCATTTTTACATGGAAAAATCTGACCTACACTGTCAAAACCCCTACTGGTGACCGAGTTCTTCTTGACAACGTTCAAGGATATGTTAAACCTGGCATGCTTGGAGCTCTAATGGGCTCTTCTGGTGCGGGTAAGACAACTCTTCTTGATGTTTTGGCACAGCGCAAAACGGAAGGCACTATTCATGGATCTGTACTAGTCGATGGTCGGCCCATCCCAATCTCGTTCCAACGCTCTGCTGGTTATGTTGAACAACTAGATGTCCATGAGTCCTTGGCAACTGTTCGAGAGGCCCTTGAATTTTCAGCCCTCTTACGCCAGTCTCGCGATACACCAGATGAGGAAAAGCTACGATATGTGGACACAATCATAGATCTCCTTGAATTAAATGACCTTGAACATACACTCGTCGGTCGACCTGGCGCTGGACTTTCAGTTGAACAGCGCAAGCGTCTTACCATCGGTGTCGAGTTGGTAGCAAAACCAAGCATCCTTATCTTTCTCGATGAACCCACATCGGGCCTTGACGGACAATCTGCTTACAACACTGTCCGCTTTCTTCGAAAACTTGCAAGAGCTGGGCAAGCTGTCTTGGTCACTATTCATCAGCCTTCGGCGCAATTGTTTGCACAGTTCGACACCCTTCTATTACTTGCGAAAGGCGGTAAGACTGTCTACTTTGGTGATATCGGTGAAAACGCTAGCACGTTGAAAGATTACTTCGGACGTCACGGAGAACCTTGTCCTCCGGAAGCCAATCCAGCAGAGCACATGATCGATGTTGTATCAGGGCTGGGAAATTCGGATAAAAGTCGGGATTGGAACCAAGTTTGGTTGCAATCGCCAGAACACGAGAAGCTCTCTCACACATTGGACTCTATGGTCAGCGAAGCAGCCGCAAGGCCTGTAGAAGATAATGTTGATGGTTACGAATTTGCGGCTTCCATGTGGACACAAATTAAGCATGTGACACATCGCATGAATATCTCACTCTTTCGAAACACTGAATACCTCAACAACAAGTTTGCTATGCATGTCAGTCTAGCCCTTCTCAACGGCTTTTCGTTTTGGATGATCGGGGATCATCTTACAGATCTGCAACGCAATCTTTTCACTGTTTTCAGCTTTATTTTTGTGGCTCCGGGTGTTATTGCCCAGCTTCAGCCTCTTTTTATCGACCGTCGCGACATCTACGAGGCACGGGAAAAGAAGAGTAAGATGTATCATTGGGCTCCCTTTGTTACCGGGCTTATTGTCTCGGAGTTTCCTTACTTAATTGTCTGCGCCTTATTGTACTATGTCTGTTGGTACTTCACAGCTGGTCTCCCCTCTGGAGCAAACTCAGCTGGAAGTGTCTTCTTCGTTGTGGTAAGTCTTTTCTGGCCCAGCCATCTTTGTCTATACTACTGTGGACTGACATGAATCCAGATAATGTATGAACTTTTATATACTGCTATTGGACAAGCGATTGCCGCTTACGCCCCCAACGCTGTCTTTGCGTCACTTGTCAACCCATTAGTCATTACAACTCTGGTTTCGTTCTGCGGTGTCATGGTACCATACAGCCAAATTGAACCTTTCTGGAAATACTGGTAAGTTTTATATTCATTCTCGTACTAAGAATCTTCACTTGTACAGAATCTAACAGCTTTTACCTGCAGGTTATACTACCTCGATCCTTACAATTACCTCATGAGCTCCCTTCTAATATTCACATCTTGGGACAAGACTGTCCACTGCACAAACGACGAACTCGCCATCTTTGACCCGTCTCCAAATCAAACATGTGGCGAGTATCTTGATATCTATCAGCGTGGCATGGGGCAAGGAATCAACATCTTGAATCCAGAAGCCACCGCTGATTGTCGTGTGTGCCAATACACTCACGGTGGGGATTACTTAAAGACCCTGAATCTCGCAGAGAAATCCTATGGATGGAGAAATGCCGGTATTGTTGTGGCGTTCGTTGTTGGTATTTATGCGTTGGTATATTTCATGATGAAGCTCAGAACAAAGGCCACGAAGAAAGCCGAGTCTTGAAAAAGTCGTCGAAAAGGGACAGTAGTACTATACTGGATGTCCGCTCACTTTGTTTTACCTGTTAGATTTCTTTACTCTTTTGCCGACGTTCCTATTTTTTGGCAATTACAATTAGATTTTTGTTCCTTCTCGGGATTGTTATCACTCAATCCTGATGTATTTTAATTCATCTCCTTTATCGTTAGATTGTTATTGGGTTATTGATTATATGACTGCATGTGAGGGTGTTGATGTAGCTAGTGAGGGGTTAGCCCTTCACAGAGCTTATCTATAGTGCTAGCTTCCTGTAATTTCAATTTGCAGGAAGAATTTCAATACAAATATAGATTAAAGCATTGAGAACTTTGGTGTGTTTTCCTAAACAATCGAGAGGTGAAATAAGGGGTCGAGTGGTAAGCTTGGGATATGATGTATTAGGAATTTAAGACCAATACGCGTTTCATTAAGCGAAATGGATCAAAGATATTTTCTTAGTACTTGCACAGTTTAGATTGTTTTCCTTGTTTTTTCTTCTTCTTAGTACGTTGAGAGGAAACAGAATCTTTGGGGGAAATGAGGTGAATAATGACGGATTGGAGTACTGTCTAATAACAATGAGGCGTTAGAGAAGATTGAGATAAATAGTAGAATCTGTGGGGTTTGCGAAATGGAGATGATAAGGACTAGTTTTACGGTCGTGATTGACATATTGCTGATAAGACGAGCTTACTTTTTTATATAATATGAGCAAATATATGTCATCTAACAATGCACTTAGAGCTACCCAGACACAAGACTTTCTATTAACTATCTCTATGCTACATATCTACATACTTCTAATCACATCCTGAGCGAATCTCCAAAACAAAAGTGAATAACATCAGTGAAACCCACACTAGCACCCACAAACTACTTGCCCTCAGCTCCCAGGTTTGTTTCTCATAATGTCCCACGGGTGTCTGTTTGCACAACCTCCTGATTGTACAATCTCAAACACAACTCCAGTCAAAGTTTCAATACATAAGTTCTCAGTTCCCCATCTAAATTCCTGAGAATCTTACTTTGCAACGTATTCTCATCACATCGCATCACTCAATAAACATTACGGTGATCAATCCGCAGTTATGAATACTCCAAGTACTCCCCAATCGCGCTCTGGTATGTAGTTTCCCTAGACTTTCTATTATAAATCTAACACCTTCATCTCCATCCACAAAACACTAACAAACACCCCATCACCACAGCCTCCAGAGCAGCAGCCGAAACCACCAAACCCATCACACCATCACAAATCCCTCTCCCCTCCACCCCAACCCCAACCGCAATCTCGAACCCAAAACCAGCCACCGAAGTCCCTCTCCCAGAAACACCCATCCCGGATCCAATATCCTCCGTCGAAAAACTTAAACTCGCAGCGAAGATTCCTCTCCCGGAAACGCCGACGCCTGCTGCCGCAACTTCTGAGCGGAGGATGAACGGTGCATTTGCGATTGCTCCTGAGACTACCAAGGTTCCCGAGGTTCCTTCTGAAGGTATGATATTTTCTATTTTCTTCCCATTTCTTCTTTTTCTTTCTTTTTATGTGAACTACCTACACATAATCTACTTATCTCTCAATCATAACTCATAACCCCAAACTTAAAACTAACCTCAAACCTCCAGTCGCTACCAAACTAACCCCTTACCTTCCAAGCAAGCCTCCAAGCAAACCCACACCTTCAATCCTCCAACACTCAACCCCCACCCCGGAAATCTCCCCCTTAAAACTCGCTCCCACTCCAACCCCCGCTCCAACCCCCGCTCCCACTTCTCAATCACAATCTCATCTCTCAGATTCCTCGACTTCTTCAATTGCTCAAGCTGAATCTATTGATCTAGGAGAGGTACCTTTACTGGGAAAGAATAAGAAAAAGGATAACTAGATAGGGTGGGATGTATCTTACTCTAAGCTTAGCCTTAGCAGGAGATTAGATTAGATTTGGGGTTTGAGTCAGGAAAGAAAAAGGGTCTACTAGCTGGCTGGCTGGCTGGCAGTATAGCGTTGTTATTCAAGTATCTATCAATTTGGAATTTTACACAGGAGATCTGATATCAGATCATGAAATCAGATATAGCGAATCGCGTTCACGGAGTTAGATAATCTAATCAAATCCAACATAATGCATCTGTTCTTGGCCAAGTTTTAAACACCGTGTATGCGTGAGTGAAATAGTTCAGTCGAAGTGATGGGAATGTAATATTACCTTTGTATACTACTAATTTCTCTTCATCCCCCAACTCATGATATCCTACCCATATTACATATAGATTCTCATACTATACTCTATGCTACACTATCAGATATATCGATCCCAGACTTTGTGAGAAATCATCACACTTTTGATAGCCACTTCAATCTTGTCACTCAATCCAGCGTTGTGTTCACCATACTGAGCTGGAATACGAAGTTCATGGACGTAGCATTATTTTGGAGATATAGGTGATTGCGGTGCATTCTTTATGTAACTGCCAGTACGATCTTTGTGACATGTCCTTTTAGTCATCTCCAGAAGCCTCTCGCAGACTAGCGAGGAATACCCTTGGTGTAGACCAAATCAAATACGCAGATTTTATCCAGATGGATGGCCCTTGGTGACACTCGGCTTGAATTTGCGAGGTGCAAAAGTCCCATTCTTTTGTTCAATCAAAAACTTCCTCTTTAAGAGCTCGTCGATGAGCTCATTTTCAAAAATCAAGTTTCGGATTATGCTTTGGAGAAATAAAGGATGGCATTCCTTGAACCAGCGGATAAGTCCCGTACGATCCAGCTTTTTTTCAATCATCTTCAAGCCCCAGTGCTTTTCAAACCATTCCCTGACGACGAAATTCTTCTCAAGGACTTCCATCAGTGTTTCTTGAATTTTGTAGGCTGGAAGGGATTTGATGCCTCCAAATAAGAGTACTCGTGCCTTTTCTTCTTCTTATTCAATCTCATGGAGACCCTGTTGAATATCAATCAATGTGAATTTATTGTTCTTGATAAGTTTTGCAATGTTTCTGCCAAAGAGACGTCCAGGACAATCCGCCAGTCATTTACTTAGTAGCTGTCTCGTTTAAGACTTGAAAACACAATGAAATTTACTAACCAATATTGGGATCATCGTGGCCAACAGTAGGACTTATGGATGCTGAGCCAGACTATTGTTGACTGTTAGCAAATAGTTTCGAATCAATGTCTTGTAATTACATAACACTTTGATACTATTGCGTGTGAGATGGAGATAGAGAAAAGAAGAAGTCTTGGAAAATTGCGACTCAAATAACGGCTGCGCAGAAATACATTGTACCTGCAGATAATCTGCATTTGGTCCGCGGGTCACCCGTCCCAGATTTTGAACTATCCGCTCCGCAGGCATCCGTTGCGCAGCCTACTCGAACATCAATCTTGGTACGCTGGTGAGAAGCTAAAGTTGAGCTAGAACGTACTGCAGCACACTGAGCTTCCGATATTCACTGCAGTCTTGTTACTACTGCTTTCGCTCAACTATAATGTTTATGTTGGTAATCTCACTCATACATATGGGCTCAGACGAACAGTCGATACTGCCTAAATACCCCGCAGATGCTTGGCTGAAGTTTAGACATCGAGTCAAGTATAGAGCGACAAGAACATCGCATTTCAATAAGCAAATAGGGATCATGTGCATTTCAGACAATATATCGAGATCAAAAATGATAGTCAAATTGATTGAATTAGATGAGATTGTCAAGTTGGGATCTATCTAGTTGTCGATCAGTCAACTTTGAATGCCACAGCACACAACTGCCCATTGTCATAGTGCCCTTTCATCAACTCTCCCCTCTTCCAAAGCTTCCCCCAAAGTATCCCATCCCATGCTAATAACCAGCCCCACTCATCTCACCACCAAACGAATCCACACGCTTCGCAATATCCCCATCCAAAAACAGTCTCACCTCCCACCTCCCATCCTCCACCTTCTGCAACAACAAGTCCGTCAACAACCCCCTTACAATCTTATTCCCTACCACCAACTCCCCCACCACATCCCTCCACCTATACATCACCACCTTCCCCTCTCTCCTCTTCACCTCTTCCGCATCATCCAGCAAATTCTGCAACCACAATCTAACCCAGCGATTCCGACTCAGGAAGATTCCAATTTTCATGACTTCCTGCGAGGAGCATGTATCAAGCGTCTTCAAAATGAGATATTGTCTCGTTGATTCTTCTATCGTGGCGATCCCGATATCATTGCCGTTCGGATTGGTGATACCGCTTGCGCGCTCGTTGATCTGAGAGAGAATTTTGTTGTGGGTTTCTTGGTAGAGGAAGTATTCTTCGTCTTTTTCGCGGGTGGTGAGGAGAGTAGGGGGAGAGGGAGTAGAGGATCGTGCTCGCCTAGGTGATGGCGGTTGAGATCTTGATCGTGAGATGGAAGGAGATGAGGACCAGGACGATGATGGTCTGGTTCGTGGGAGAGATGGAGTTACTTGTTCGTTCTGATAATAGGGGCGTAGAGTAATAGAGCTTACATGAGCGCTAAGGGGCCAATTATTCGTGTTGTTCTGCATTGTGAAATGCTTTGGATGTATGTTGCTAGTATGCGGAAAATTTGTTGTAGTGGGATATCAGTCGCAGGTGCTGTTGGATGCTGCTTAAGTGAACAAAGTAGACTGTTTTCTGAAACATTGATACAGAGAAGGATTGTGCAGAGATATTTAAAGACTTTGAAGTAAGAGATTATCAGAATGATACTATGTTGATACAGCCAAATCAAGTCTTATTGCTGTACTATTGTATGGAATTCAGGAGAATACCACCGTAAATATCTATTCACAGTGAGGGTGAGAGTTTTGGTATGGTAGCCTAGTAGGAGATCTTTTGACAGGATATCTTTTTTTGCAATATTTTAGGAAAGACACTGAGGAATTGAGAAATTGAAAAGCTAAATATCTTTCAAATCGATCAAAATATCCAAGGAATCAGAAGATCTGATCAACTAAAGATCCTAATGAAAGAGTGATCGCAATCGAGGAAATCTCAACAAACCAAACAAAACTAAAAAACACAGTTTTTGGGAAATATAAAGAAGAAAGTACATGATCCTAAAGACTTGAACCCTCGAGAACTACTGGTTCAAAGCCATCAGCAATTTCTCACATCCAAGACAGAACCATGATCTCCCCCACCAAAATCAAAACTCAATCCCTAACAAATACCTATCAGAGTCACTTACCACCATACATTACTGACTTTATCCTACAATACCATCCCCCTCCTCCTCCTCCTCCTCCTCCTCCTCCTCCTCCTCCTCCCCGTCCAAAAATTAACCATCCAAACCCTCCAATCCCCCTCCTCAAAATAAAACCTCCTAACCTCTACCCCCTCACTCCCCACCCCAACCCCCTCACCACAAACTCTCTAAACTTGATTCCCCTCTGCGGATGATTTCCCATCTGCACATATCCCTCCTCACATCCTTCTCTTTTATCGCATTCACAATTTTCTCAAACTCATCTAGACTATCTCGATGCAGATATTGCATCATAGGCGATAATGGATAAATATCCCCCTCAGAACCTAATGGGTAAAATAGCGCTGGAGTAACTGAATTTTCAGTGCTGTAAGATCGGCGAGTTGATGGTCTAGGGAGGATTGGATTATTTTGTGTGGTTCGGGTTCGTTTGAAGATTGGAGGTTTTTGGCGTCGGTATATGAAAGGGGGGTCGATTCGTGGAGCGGGGATGTCGGAATTTTGTGCGGGCGAGTTCGATTTCGAGGTGTTGTTTGGCATAAAGCTCAGTGGGGGAGAAGACAGGGAAAGATTGTATTCGTATAATGAATCGGGTGCAACTATGATGTGAAAGTGATATTAGAGATGTGAAAGAAATGCAATGGGCTCAAGAAGAAAACAGTGTGCGTAATTCGAATATACAAATAATCTTAGAAACAGCCGACAATTTTTTTCTCGTGGCGATCCAGCAGGTAGAAGCCAAGAATTGTACTTACTCGAGGGAGTTTTATACGACTGACGAGCCAACCAAGAATCTAGATCCATCATTTCGGGCGGAGTATCTTCGTTGGGATTTTCTGCCATGGCTGGAAGTTTGATGTGAGGTGGTATAACGAAGTGTGATGATGAGGTTGATGGTGGCACAAGATAGTGTAATCACATCTCATATTTCTTCTCAGGGAAATGATAGCAACTAAATTCCTCTCCTTCCTTCCCGAGGGATACATGAAAACACTCATCTCAGAGGGAAAGAACAAGCAACAAACAACAAATAGCAAACGACACATTGCAAAATAACCATTTCTCCTAGCGAAAAGTGAGAAGCAACTACCACAGAGTGTCTAGATAACAGAAACTACCCAGGCACCTACGCTATGATCCACAGTCTCTCTACACATAGCCACCATCTAATCATCTGCTCAGTATCAAGAATCCATATCACGTATAGAATCAACAATTGAACTACACACATCCCACCACCCCATCCTCACATCCTCACATCTAAACTTCTACTCTCTCAAGCAATTCGAAATCTACAGATACAAGACAATCCCTACAAAATGCAACATTCATCACCCATCTCAAATGACGATACCACAACACCAAAAAAATATTAACATCAATCTGATTGATAAGTGTAAAGTACTTGAGTCTATTATGGTTGTAATCATTCTTGATCATTATCGACTATGCGAAGCTAGTAGTTATATAAGGAAGCGCTAGCGTCTCGTCAGCTAACACAATGCCCTCAGTGATCATATGATCGATCTTCTGACAGGAATCAGATACAGTCCAAAAAGAAACTGAAGAGAACACTAAATCAATTCGAATGATAGATTTCTAAATACCCATCCGCCAACCACAAATGAAGAAAGGAGATATTACTAGACATTTCGCAAAGAATATCATTGCATGATGTAAGAAAGGAGAATATATCTAACCAAAGAACAGCCATCTAACTGAACGTACCTATGTCGATATACCAATCTCGCCCCAAAAGGATGAAAAAATAAAAAATAAGCGACTCTCTCCCCCTTTCAGACAGACAAACAGACAAACCAACCAACCAACCAACAAACCCAAACTCATCAAGACCAAGACCAAACTCAAATTCATCCCCATCAACCACCTACTGAAATACGTCAGTTCCCCCAGCAAAAAAAGATAAATACGTCACCTAACCATAAGAGACCACCCCCGTCACCCCACTCTAACCTTCTAGAAGCAAGCCGTTCCTTCTTCCGCGCGCGGCTAAAATCGTCGATCATCCTTATCCACATATTTACCTATCACGATGCATCTCATCACCATTCATCACAATCTCCCCCATCCCATCCTAACAACAAAAGCCCCTTCTCTTCTCCTTCTCGTCCCCCTCCCTGTCGCCACTCCCCACCCAAACATCACCCCATCACCCCCACACGCAAGCCTCCACCACAAACCTCATCCATCCATCCATCCATTCATCTATTCATCCATCAATCCAACCTTCCAGAAGCTTCACAGAACCACAGAACCCTAGCATAAGGATAAATACTCAAATCATACAATCTCACACGATCTCATCTCAACTCAGGTCCCCACCCCTACCCCCACCCCCATTTCCGATCTCCCTCCCTCCCTCGTCCCGAGTCAAGTACCGACGATCGCGCATACAAATAAACTTCACAAGGAAGAAGGGTCTTTCTTTCCTGACTCTGACATGCATGCATGCATGTGTGTATGCATGAGCACCAGACCCAAGATTGGACCCCTAAATTACCCAACTACCAGTTGGATGTTATTGGTCTGCATTTGTGGTTGCTATGGATATAGAGTAGCTGGGAGTGGGTTTATTGCGGTGACGATGCGATACCATACGATGTGATTCAAAAAAGTGAAGATTGAATGAGGACTCCAGCCTTGCAGATTGTGATTATATCGGGCTAGCTTACCCATCTACCTTCCTACATGGAGCATCTTCGGGATTTCCGGGCTCATTGATTATTATTCAGATGATGAAGTGAAGCATGATGAAGATTATGTAAATATGTAAGAGAGGAGAATACATTTACATTTACAGTTACAGTTACAGTTACAGTGGAGTAAGTGAATTCAAACATCCTCACGAAAAGGAACATATGTATGCATTCCACTCCTCCCCAAATTGAAGGAATCAAATGTAGGATGAAGCGGAGAAAATTATCCATCGCCGTTTTACACTCAACCAATTACGACCCGAGAATGGAAATGAGCCAATGGGACGGATGCGACGTGAGGGAATTGCAGCGTGTGATTTTGATGTGTTAATTATATGCGACGAGTTGGAGATGAAGGTTTAGTAATCAACTGTGACATTCGTAAAATATGTAAAACGTATATAACAAAATAAGATGAGATGAGACAGATAGACAGGAACGAGAAATTGACTCGGAGCATTGATTCGGGGATAAAAAGTTTGATACTGCCGATAATGATTATGAAAATGAGGAAGATGAGGTGAGAATGTAATTGAGTACTACTCATAGGTGTTAATTGACTCCGAATTTCTACGCCCGAACTCATAAAGGCCGAGCACGAAATTGTCTGTAGGGCCGAGGAAAATCCATATCTATCGGAGATGAATGAATAATCACGGAGGAAAATATATCTAGTCGGTATATGCATATGTGACTTGAGTTACTGAGACAACGAGAATGTAAGGTGAGAAGTACCTACTCATGTGATATCTGTCACATGTCATGAAAATCATCATGATCTACTAGGTACTGTGCCCTACCTTACCCTCTTCTCCAATCCATCAATTAATGCATCAAAAAGGGGAAAAGCTTCTTCCCACCGCCTCGCGCTCCTCATCAGGAAATGCGGTTTGATCGGTCTTCACTCGAAGCCGCAAGAATCGACACCGCAAGAATCAACTATCTGGCCACTCCTGTAGCACCCGAAATCGAACGATATATACATTCCCATCACAAACCCCTCGAATCCAACCTCCCGCCAGAACTGCAAACCGAAGATCGCCTTACCAACCATCCAAGCGAGATCAAGCACCTTATTTAGGTACTTACCTAGAGACCGAACCTGAAAATCATGACACATTTCACTCCCAATCTGGACCAGTGAAGCGTACCTGAAATTTTCGCATACCACGCGCAAAATTATTTCTGCAGCGGAAAATTATCTAGTTAGCTACCAGTCAGGTACCAAAAAAACACGTGTTGCTTGTTTCTGGTAGGTGTGAGTGAATACACCCATACATCTCTTAGTATGCGCGGATACATTATGCATCTAGAGGATGATACATATGTGTGAATACGCATTTGAAAACCAAAAACAACGACGGGCGTTGAAGAATACCAATTGGGGATCGAGATGTCATTTGTCGGTCTGTCTTGCATATGGTATTGTGTATTGTTTTCTCTTCGTTATGAGCCAAGCATCGTGATGAGAAGGTTGTACAGAGTTTGTTATTTTGAGCGGTCTGGATTTAGGTCGGTTAGTCCTCCTGCAGGCTTGGGCGTGAGCGGGTCGCATGGAAAGTTGTATGGAGGGCGTATACTGCGCAGGTAGAGGTAAAAT